CAGCCCCACACTCCATCCACACTGCCCCACCCCCAGCCCTGCACCCAGCCCCACACACACTCCCCTCCTGCTGCCCCAGCCCTGCACCCAGCCCCACACTCACTCCCCTCCTGCTGCCCCAGCCCTGCACCCAGCCCCACACTCACTCCCCTCCTGCTGCCCCATCCCCAGCCCTGCACCCAGCCCCACACTCCATTCACACTGCCCCATGCCTCAGCCCTGCACCAGCTCCCAGCTCCTCACTCATTCCCCTCCTGCTGCCCATGCCCAGCCCTGCTCCCAGTCCTACACTCCATTCACACTGCCCTACATCCAGCCCCACATTCCCCCACACCCAGCCTTGTGACCTGACCCCACCCCACACTCCATCCACACTGCCCCACACCCAGCCCTGTGACCTGCCTCCCACCCCACACTCCATCCACACTACCCTACGCCCAGCCCTTCACTTCCCCAGGAAGCACCCAAAGCCTGGCTCCAGCCCTCACCCCTCCTGGGGGTGCCTGGTGCCCCCTGCTCCACTTCTCCCTGGGGCGAGGAGTGTCCGGTGCCCACGGGCACTGAAGGACTGCAAAGGGGGGAAGCCGTCACACAGGGTCGCAGCACTGCTCAGATTTGGCCGGGCGCCCCTCCGTCATGCCAGGAGGGAAGGGGCTCTGGCATTAAGCCACCCAGCTCTGGTCAGAGAGTGGGGGAGCCGGGGCCCCCTTGCTGCACCCCGGTATGTGTAATCTCTTCTAAGGCCCCCGTCGCCTGGGAGCTCAGTATGCATTACTGGCTCCCGCTCACCCGTGTCTTGGTGTGATGAGCACCGCACCCCCAAAGCATGCTGGGAGCTTCATAGACATGTAGCAAAGTGCCCCCGCACCAGCCCTCCAAGAGGAGTGGGGGGCAGATGCCCTGCCTGGGGTGACGACGCAGCTGGAAAAGTTTGTGACCGTCTGGGACAGGGAGGGCCCGCCCCCCCGGGTCGGATTCTCTCCATTCCCCACCCAGACATTCCTTTGAGGCAGGCGTTCAGGTCTCTGTCTGAGCCCCTCGCCCCACCCCTTGGGGCTCATCCACCTGCCCGCTGTTCTGTTCGGACAGGTTCTTCTCCCTCCCCCTTCACCAGCATCCGGTGCCTTCCCGCTATGCGTTAAACCCCGCGACTGGAGCCTGTCCCAGTCCTTATCGGGCCCCATCCCCATTGCATCTGGGCATCTTCA